TAGTGAAAGTCGCAACGATAAACCCCACTCATATAATATATCTTTTAGCTATTCAAGGATTTGTGAAAGCCTTGTAACCTCTATTGATATAGTGAAATCATTTCAACCAGGCTAGACCTTTCAGTTTTTGCCTTGTTAGCTTTCCCATGTAAAAAGCCATGCCAATCACTTTACTAGCTATTTATCAATGTGTGCCATATTTTCGTACAATAAAAGGATGTTAATATATTACGCTACCATCACAAATTTATTAGCACATAATAATTTTGTTACTACATTCTTGTTGACATATAGTTTTACCCATTCCCTCATCAAATATATAAATATTAAAATTTTCTGTTGTTGTATTTAGCAGCACGCATAATTAATACGTATTTCCCTATACTAAAATCTTAATTTCAAATTGCAAGCTGCTCTAGCGTTTTTCCTCCAAAATACTACAACTAGTGCATTCCATTAGAGCCACATTCCTTTATTTGTCGACATTTATTGGATTCTTTGTGTAATGATTGCACTCTATTAGTAGCACACGCTCAGCCATTCATTCCATCGATATAAAAAAATAATTACAAAATGACAGGAAAAATGAAAGATAACATACACGTGCAGACCAAAGAGGGCTGTCCAAAAAGTTCGTCACAAATTGGGCTCCTGAAATGGCCCATGGTTTGATTCAGCCTCCTGTACGGCTAATTATAATAAAATGCTACATAAGCATAGTAAAAATCCACCAAGAATAAGCAAAAAAAACATGTGAGGACTATTCTCCAAGCCAATGTAAGTATTAAATCAAGAGGCGGAATGATAGTAAAGCATAGTAAGGTGAAGATTTAAGAAACCCACAAAATTAAAAAAAAAAATAAAAAACTAGTAAACAATCCAATAAGACTATATGTTACAGCGAGTATAAGTTGGCAACGGGAACAATTATAAAATTCTTGAACTTCTATCTCCTACTGCAATGTTTGATAGCAAATCTAATATTATTCAGATGAAGAAATGACATTTCTGTAATTACACATAGTTCCTCTCAAGCCAGACACGATGAGCAATAATGTGCGTAGGTAGAGGGGAGAGATGCCACCTCAATAAGAACCAGGAAAAAAAATCTGGATACTCAATTTCTCGTGTAAAGAAGCACCATCAATCCAATAATCAAAAAAAAAAAAAAAAAAAAAAAATTACGGGAACACCTGTAGGGGTAACCTGGAAGGACAATCACCGATGAATTCTTGTCATAATGACAAAAATATTCCCAAAATGTAGATTAATTATTTTTCATAAAGTAAAACAGAGATCTATAAGCATATGAACACCAATTGAAGAAGATAAAATTTGAATTATGATGAGCTTGGATTTACATATCATATTAACAGTATTAAAAAATTAGGGAGTCCGATGCCTCCACAGTATTTGGGCGTGGTAAAATGTTTCAAGCAATGGTGTGCAGAAGACAGCTAGAGACATTAAAAAAAAGGAAGTTATTGATCAAAGAGGAGAGCTTCTTCCCGAGTCCATTAGGAATAATGAAAGACCTGAACCGATAGTGGAAGTGGCTCCAAATATTGATTTTAATCAGCTGTAATCTACCAACAATTGAAATGAGCTTTTGCTTCCAACCACTCAAATTGAGCTAAATATTTCTAAATTTTAGGACACTTGGAAGCAGTGTCTTAGATGAGTTTCTAGTGATACCCAAATGCTCTCATGGGAGGGTTTCCTTTAGAAACCAAGCCTATTACAGAGCTACCGTATACAATGTTCGGCGAGACTTACAAAAACATATGACAGATTTGCTCGGGTTTGCCTAAAGATTAGAGATTTCTTGGAAAGATTTAAGGGTTTGAGACAAACCATTGATCGATTCAATGGCGGTTTTACCAAAGACCAAAATATCATCTGCATAAATAAGGTGATTTAACTGCAAGTACTATTTCCTATGCTAGTTTGGTGCCAATGGAGATCCGACAGTCAAGAGAAGGCATTGATAATAATGGTAAACAGGTAAGGGGATAAGGGCATTCCAATCTCAACTCAGAAGAAGAGAGTAAATAGCCTTGAAGTTCACCATTTATAATAATAGAAAAATGAACTTGATATGTACAGGCATTTATCAATTTCTCCACCTTGTCATAAAGAAAATCCATGTTAACAGTATCAAATGCTTTACTCAGATCAATTTTAGAGCACAAGAGCTTGTGGTGCAGGAGGAGTTAAACCAATTAAAAAGTTTATTAGAAGGTTAATATTATCCACAACGTCATGTCCTTATAAAAAAGCAGACTGGGATTGATGAACAATATCGGGCAAGAGAATCTTGTGCCTACGTGCATTAAGTTTAAAGACAACTTCGTAAAGAAGATAGCATAGAAATATAGGCATAAATTCATTAAGCTTTTGGGCGAGGAAACCTTTAGGTATAAGAGTAACACCGGTATGCTTGACTCTATTAGGTAGTTTAGTAAACGAAATAAATATCTAAAGGCATTTAAGCAAGAGAGGTCAATAATATTCCTTCAAATCCAATGCAACAGAAAGCCTTTTTAATATTCATAACAGAGAAATATGAAACCAGAATATCACATTCATAAGTAATAAGGAGCCGGCCAACAGAAACATTGAGAAGAGAGGCAGTGAAAACTGAACCAGAACAATTTAGAAGATCAGGGAAGTAATGAATAGCTTTCTTCATTATGCCTTCTTGAGTGTTAATGTAAGCATTATTAGAGAAAAGCTCTCAAATGTAAATTTTATCTCTCCTGTACTTGATTCTTTGATGGCGAAATTTGGTATCATCTTCTAACTTGGATAATCACCACAAATTTGAATATTTGCCCAATCCATTTATTTTCACAAGATATAGCCTCAATAAACTTGCTTTGAATGTCGCAAGCATTAGATAGGAGTTCTGTTTAAATGTTGTTGCTCCAACTCAATTTGATAGTGTCTTTGAGTAGATGTAATTAAATGAATTCTACTTTGCATTTTTGGGGCAAGCTTAAGAGTCTTTATAGGGTCTCCCGCATAGAAGTCTTCCAGGTAATATGAATAATATTCAAGAAATCAAAGCACAAACTCCAGTAATTCTTATACCAGAATCAACATCTAGGAATAAATTTTATAACCGTTGAGATAAGAATAGGAGAATGGTTAGAAGTGGGAGCTTCCATAACTTTGAAATAAGAGTGCTGGAAGGAAGAAAACATTTTATCATTGCTAAAAGCTCTATCAAACAAGCAACGTATAAGATTGTCAATCTGCAGGTTGAACCAACAATAAGAAAAACCATTGTTGGTAAGCTCAATGAGAGTAGAATTAAATAAGCAACTATTGAAATCAGCCAATTTGCTAGGAATAGGTGGAACACCACCAACTTTCTCATCCAGTGGACAAATACAGTTGAAATCACTCACAATAAGCCAATGCTTATTGATAGTAGATGCCAAAGTAGTAAAAGCATGCCAAAGTTCTTTTATTTTGGAGGCACAGTTTTCAGCATATACAAAATTAATTATGAATTTGATAGAGGGAGAGTAGGAGAGAAAACCATGAATTTATTAGGGGTGTGTTTCCAAAACAATGAAATCAACATTGGTAGGATTCCAATTAATCCAAATACACCCATTTTGAGAGAGATACAATTATAAGCATTGTCTTCAATAAAAAAATGAAGAAATGCTTAGAAGAGAGGGGGTCAAAGATGAAAGAAGTTCAAAGCTTGATTTCAAGTAGGCAGAAGAGATCTAGGCTATAGTCTTTAACATGTTTGTGACTTTCAGTGATACAAATGTTACTGCTGAAACCTGTGACGCTCCAAACAGCAAGCTGGGGAAGAAATGTTGGATAAACTAGTCAAACTAGTCTTGTGAGGGAGGGGCATCTACTTTGAGTATGCATTTGTTGGCTTTTGAAGTAGTGGTGAGAGTTGAGGTGCTGAGCTGAGAGTTGTGAGTTAAGGAAGGGAGGTATTACAAGGGGAGTGGTTGTTTATATTATTGTCCACAGAACTGGTATTTGTGCTGGCCACAGGAACAGGGGAGTAGGTTATATTATTGGTAATGGCTTGAGGGTTGGGTCTGAAGGCATCCTCAACAACTCTTAGATGGGGAAGAATTGGGAGATGAGTTACTCATTTCAAACGTGGGAATAGGTACACTGAGATCTGCGGTAGAAGTGGTGATAGGAAACTAGTATTAAGGCTTTGTGTTGTGAATGTTGCGGCTTCTAGAGAAGGCAAACTCAAATCCTTTCCTAATGAGGCTTCTACAATGGTTGAAAGGAATGATAGGGGGTGGATGGTAGGTTAAGCATTTGGAGCGAGTGTTTTCATGCCGTCGAGAGCATGTATAAGTGCAAACACTCGCTATAAGATTTTTTTTATCTATATATCAAGTGTTTTCACTTATACATGTTCTCCCTCTCACAAAAGTTCGTTATTCTTTTAGGGTATTAAGACTTATTGCTTCTAAGCATAATGTTACTATTTAGTCGAGACAATGATTTTTTAGTCTGTTTCACGTTAGTTTTAAATCATAGTTTGAAAATTTTATTAGGTAATTCCAATTAAGATATGTTATCTGTTATATATATTTTTACCTCCCATATTTATAGATAATAAATATACCAGTTCAGCTCGATTTTTATTGATAAAAAAATTGAAATATTAGTCCAATGATATAATGGATGTTTTTGCTTAAGCAAATGACAATTTTAACAATCAAATGAGTGCTATAGTAATAATGTGTTGTTACTATCTCTTTTAACCAGCAGTTGCAACAGAGCATGTGACATATTTAAATCATAATTTTATAACCTCTAAATTTCTATGAAATAATGCTATCTATGATAATTTAAAACAAAAAAAAAGATCATCATAATCATGTTGACCTTGCTGTATAAGATAACATTATTTTAGCTGATACTGAACCAAATATATTATTTTAAAAAGATAAAACAATAATAATGTTATCTAGACAATATTACATCAAAATAATATTGAACAAAAGCAGCCCCACAGTCATAAATTCTCTAAATCCATCCATTTTCCTAAATAACATTCCATCAAATTATAAACTCTAACAAGCTTCATCCGAACTAATTTCATACAGCAATTTCAACCATATATGACTTACACATCCTAATAGATGTCTTGCAATCAACAAAAACCGATCCCTAAACTACTAAATCAACTCCAAGCACAAAACAGTAAGAGGAAGCGTACCGCATATTTGATAAGTTTAGTCCACCGCAGCATTAGTCATCTATTTTCCAGCACTGGTGGCACTCATTAGGGCCTTCTTCAACTCCTCGTTCACATCCTCAGACACTGATTTCACCTCACTCCGCCGCTCCCTCTTTGATGGCTCCGGCGGCGGCACTGCTGCCCTTAGCCCGCCCTTGCCTGCTTCAGCACCAAAGCTATCCTTATTTCCAATTGCAGCAAACACCTTTTCCGAAGGGAAGCAACTGCTATCAATCTTTTCACGAAGACCCTCCACGGTCTTCCTGAGAGTTGCGCTTTCATTCTGCAGCGCTGCAATATCCTGCATAACAGACTTGCAAGCTTGGGTTACTTGGCCTGCAGCGACATTGGGTTCACTGTTTTGAAGCAGCTTCGATTTTGCATCAGCTGGTATATGCTTGATGAAGATCTTGTTCATCACAAGCATAGGGAGATTGGTCATGGAGAAAGTATCCATGGAGAATGATGACTGAAGCTCCCTAGGCATCCTGAATCCCCACCGGAATCCAATCATCGCGCGGCTGCGAATAGGAAGAACACTCCGCGCCGTTACATCTATGCCGGAAATCAGCCCCCCTATTTCTCCCCTTGCAGCAGGCAAGTTCACCATGATGCCGTTCGCTTTTCCACCGTGGTGGATTCCGTTGGACCCCGGCGCTGGTGACGGAGAAGGCGGAAACATCTCTTCACCGTCCGATACGGGGATGATCCCCCTCGGTGACGAAGACGAAGCTGATTTTCTGAAGCAGAAATCGCCGAGGCGGGGCTTGAACACGACGGAAAAAATAGGGGATCCGGAGACGCCGCGGGGAGAGGAGAGGTTGAACTCCGTAATCATGGAAAAGGGCGCGCCAACGGGGGAACCAAAGGCGCCGATGCCGGTCTTGACGGATAGTGTGAAAGTGTTGAAGGGCTCGTTGGGACGATAAGAAACGCGGAAAGCAGGACCGGACTCGAAGGCGGTTGTGAGATCGAGGCGGAGATCGCGCTTATCACCGGCGGCTGCGCCGGCAAGGAACGGGATGCTGAGGATGCTGATGGGAATCTTCGCCCGGGCAAGTGGTCGCTGGTCCTCCCGAAACTTGAGCGACGCCTTCATCGGAAACAAACCCTAGGAGGAAGAACCAGACGTTAGGGTTTTTGGGTAAGCTGGATATGCAGAGCGTGGGTGAGGGGTGGAGGTGGATTTGAAATTTGGGCAACTATTCAAGAGCTGATTTGACCAATTTTGTTGCATTTAGGAACAGAGTCGGGGCGACTTCCATTCTGGTATTGCCCCCTTTTATTTTTTTTCCTTGAAACACCCTTGCAATTTTTGGAAATTAACTATGGTGCCAGCTAGAAAGGTTGAAAAGCCTTTGGTTTTTTAAGTAACTTTTGGATTTGAAATAAAAAGAATTTCGCCATAAGATCTTTATAATAATATCCAATAACAACAGATTTTGATGTATCCTAATTCTTTTAGCCAGTACATATTTATTTGGGAATCAAATAGTGAAATCAGGGGGAGGGATGTAAATCAGTAGAACACGAGCCGAGTCTGGTTGTAAATCAGCCGAATACTAGTGAGCTCAGGTTCAACTCGTGTTCGGCTCAGCAAAAAATATCACTATTTGTGTTCATCTCATTTATATTTCGAACACAAAAAGTGTGTTCTTGCTCGGCTCGTTTGCTTAGTCAACCGAACAAGAGTTATTTGCGAAAAAAGGTAATTTTGACAATCTTAATCATGTAGCTGTAGGATGTTAAGAGTTGGGGCAAGACTTAACTCTTATTATTTATATTAAAAGATCGTTTAAATATAATTTAATATATATTTTAGCTTGATGTGTGCTAGAAAATTCGCGGCGGTAGAGTAATGGATTATCGTCTTAGTGTTGCGTGAGAATTCAACACACACTCAGATGAAAATGAATCAAACTGTGATGATACCATAATTTTTTACGTGAAAAACCCCTTTGTTCCACAGACGGGAAATGGTTATTAGATTTTCCAAGGTATAACGTCGGCTAACGACGTCTAGTTGGCGGGGATCGACGTAGGTCGGCGGTGATCGACGACACTCAACGACAATCGATGACGATCGGCGGTGGTCGCAGATAGTTGGTGGTCGACGAAGGTCAGCGGTGATCGACGGTGGTTGACGGTGGCCGGCGGTGGTCGACGGAAGTCGGTGGTGGCAGAGATGATGTTGGGCTTAAACTCCTTCTCAAAGCCCAAACATCCCTCTCATGAGAGAGATGCTCTATCTATAGTGTTCTGAGTACAATTAATGAAGAAATATGAACCATTTTGATCGGACGGTTCAGATAGCTTTTCTCGATCAGACGACATTTGATGGACATTTGAGTGTTTTAATGATGTCAGAATTGAGCAATCTTAGGCTCGTTTGATTCGTCTTGTCGAGACTCTCAATTCGACTATAAACACGTTTTATTTGACATCCGTTTGACCTTTCAAATGCCTCTGGAAATTTTTTTAGAGTTGTTTAATGATTTAATCCGGGCTTGATCTAACTTGAATTGGACTAGTTCTTATATCATTGAGTCAATCAGTTTGACTATAAGTTTACTGAAATCAAAAATCTATATGACTCTTAATTGAAGTTTGAATGTTTTTGCTCAAGATTTTATCCCGAAATCCGTGTTATGCTTCGAGATTCGTGTCGGATGATAAAAATTTGTTGGTGTCTATCAGTTGCCCCCCTATTTTTGAACGAGTCTAATTTTTTTTCATCTGGAAATGTCAAGATCAAAGCATCACTTATATATATATATCTGACATTTTCTGATTCGGTAATAAATGTTCTCATTAGCCTTAATCTTCTTTGATAATCCGCTGCTTTGATAATCCACATACGTGATAAAGCCAAACGACAAGATGCGACAGCAGAATCGCGTAATAAATGCTCCCATAACCTTTGATTTGTATAACATATAAACGCACTGGCATGAGAACGCCAAACGACGGAATTCTGATGTAGAAGCGGGATCGGCGAGCAACGGGACGTGGAAGCGGAGGCGAACAACGGGAAGTGGAAGCGGAGGAGGCGGAGTTAAATAATCATTTTAATTATTTTAATAATTAATATTTAAGAATTCAAATTCTTTTTGACCCTATAAATAAGGGTTTGAAGGAGAGGATAAAATTGGAATCCTCGGCTGATTCAAGATTTCTAAGAAGAAGAAAATTGTTATGCGCAGCGGTGAAGAGTTGTAGTGCAGAGTTACGCTGAAAAGTTGCGGCGAAGAGTGTTATGCCGAGTTACGGTGTAGAGTTGCAAGAAAAAGTTGCGGCATATAGTTGCAGTGAAAAGTTATAGTGTCGAGTTATGGTGTAGAGTTGCGGTGCCGAGTTGCGGTGTAGAACTGTGGTGCCGAGTTGCGGCGAAGATGAAAGTCTTCCTAGCCCTGCGTAGCAGTCAAACAACGAGATCATCTTTCTTGTTTCGGTGAAGAGAAAAGTCTTCCCTGGCCTGCATAGTAGGCAAGCAATGAGATTTTATTTCTTGTTGATATCATGCATTCCGCAGGAGATTCCAATGTCGCTCTTGCACATTCTGGAGGTGATGAAGAAATGTTGTAGCTTCTTTGCAGCGCTTTGATGGGAAGGTTTTCATGCTTATTTAGTGGCGATATTTGGAGGCCTCCTGACTATCATCAAAAGTACTTGAATTTTGGGGAGGCGGTGCCAACTCTACTTGAAGATTAACAGATTTGTTGTAACTCTTGTACAAGTATATGTTGATCTTTGTTGCATTTTTTATTATCTGATGTGACATTTTTAGATGATGATAATATATTTCTTTGTTTTTTCTACGATTGATGTTACTTCTTAATTGTGTAAAATTCTGTAATTAAAGTTAGCACACAAGTTTTTATAAAAGGATGAATCACGTACCTTTTGTGGTTCATGCCTTGCTAGGTTGTGCCCTCCCAGATTTATGCCTTATAGAAGCTTGAACTGGCAGCCTTCTAAGGTTTTTTAGTGAAGACCCTATTGGGCTCGTCTTATAGTGGCATGGTAGCATCTTATCTGGTCTTGCCTCTAGTCTCGATGTTCAGGAGCATAGTTGAAAGGAGAATCCATTGAAAATATAAGGCCAGTTCTGAGTTGTATAACCGGAGATGCTCGATGATATTAACCTGTAACAAAGTCATATGAAATCCACTGAGGATGGTTGACATATCTTAAGTTGTTGGTTGAAGCTTTTGTTTGACAACCGTAATATGTTATTGAAGAGATCAAAGAAAATCCACAAAGGATTATTGACTTATCCGAGATTGTATGTTGAAGCTTTTGCTTGACGACTGTAGTCTGCAATCGAAGAGGTTGAAAGAAATCCACCAAGGAATTTTGACCTATTCGAGACTGTATGTCGAAGCTTTTCCTTGATGACAGTAGCCTGTAATGGAAGAGATCGAATCGAGTCCCCTTGGGATCGATTAAGCCTAGAATGAGGTGTCAGAGATGCTCTGCGTTTCTCGAGACTATGGCGTAGATCGCAATGGACCCTATCTTTTCTTGAAAATATGGTTACATACTTACTCAAGAAAAATGTTTGATAACTTATTAGTTGCTTGCTTTTGAATTAGTTGCTGAAGAAGAACTCCAGTACAATGAGAGGGCGCTGAGAAAGTATTATTTGCGGTGAAGATTGCTCCCCAGTACATGATTGATTCTCGTAAACTTATAATCTGAATGAAATGTGAGATGACTTCCCCACCACAGTCATGCCCGGGATGTTAACAAAACGACTTTTCGAGACTGTAATGAAAGTTGCCCCTAGCCTGGAAGAAGTTATAAAACATTTTTTGTCTGAATAAGATGTGAGAAGACAACCCTATTACAATCATACCCGGAACGTTGACGTGAACAACCTTTCGAGACTGCAGTGAAGGTTGCCCCCCATATTGAAGAATGTATCGGAGAAGATCTTCGTGACGTGAAGTGTGTTTTTTCATCAGTTGGATGAAGTACATGATTTGGAAAGGAAGCAGGGGCTTGGTGCCTTAGAGTTGAAGACAATGCCGAACGAGACTTCGCTTCCCACATACAACGCCAAACTGATGTGTGCTAGAAAATTCACGGCAGTAGAGTAATGGATTATCGTCTTAGCACTGTGCGAGGATTTAACACACACTCAATTGAAAATGAATCAAGATGTGATAACACCATAATTTTTTACTTAGAAAACTCGTAAAGTGAAAAAACAACTGGACTTGACCTAATTATAAAAATCCACTATAAGTTGACGATTACAAAAGCCCATTTGTCCTACAGAGAGAAAGGGTTATTAAATTTTCCAAGGTACAACGTCGGCTAACAGCGTCTAGTTGGCGGTGATCGACGGAGGTCGGCGGTGATTGATGGTAGTCAACGACAATTGATGACGGTCGGTGGTTGTAGACGGAGGTTGGCGGTGGTCGCAGACGGTCGATGGTCGACGGAGGTTAGCGGTGATCGGTGGTGGTCGACGATAGCCGGCGGTGGTTGACGGTGGCCGGCGATGGTCGACAGAAGTCGGCGGTGGCAGAGATGATGTTAGATTTGAACTCCTTCTCAAAGCCTCAAGTTCTCTCTCAAGTCTCCCTCTCATGAGAGAGATGAGACTCTATTTATAGTGTTCTGAGTGCAATTAATGCTGAGTGCAATTCTGAGTGCAATTAATGAATGGATATTAATAATTTTGATCGGATGGTCCGGAGAGCTTTCCTCAATCAGATGACGTCTGATGGATATTTGAATGCCTTAATGATGTCGAAATTGAACAATATTGAGCTCGTTTGATTCGTCTTGTCGAGACGCTCGATTTGACTATAAACTCATTTTATTTGACATTCGTTTGACCTTTTAAATGCCTCCAAAAATTTTTCTAGAGTTGTTTATTGATTTGATGCGGGCTTGATCTGACTCGAAATGGACTAGTTCTTATATCATTGGGTTCGTTTCATCGAGTCAATCAGTTTGACTATAAGTTTACTGAAATCTGAACTCTAAATGACTCTTAATTGAAGTTTGAATGCTTTTGCTCAAGATATTGTCTCGAAATCCGTGTTATGTTTTGAGGTTCGTGTCGGATGATGAAAATTTGTTGGTGGCATATTAAGTTTATATTTTTAATTAATTATTTTAATTGATTATAAATGTTTGAAGCATTGTACTCAACTAATTTTTTAAAAAATAATACTCATCAACACACACACACACACACGAACAAAATTTTGTTTGTGTTCCGCTCATTATA